AGGCAGAGGGTGGTCTGAAAGAGGGGAAATGTGTCTTGGGTGGGCAAAGAGATGGGATGGCAGCTGGAGAGGGAAGGAGATGGGTGATAGATTGGCGGTCTGCAAAGAAACAGTGTGGGTGGAGAAAAAGGAACTGGGACAAGAAATGAGAAATTGGGGATGGGAGATTTTAACTGGTGATATATGCAGCTGATGGAGCAAACAGGACAGGGATGTTCCTGTGAGACTATGTAATCTCCCATGGGTACTGGAAGTTCTTGCTTAAATGCCCCCTTTCTTTTGTATTCAATGCTGAAAGCTTTCACACAAGTCTTCTGCCTTGTAGGGAGACAAAGAGCAATAACTTCTTGTCTTTTAGTCTGCAGGGGTAAATTGCATTCTCTTCACGAATTTCACAGTGTACCATACAGAGTATGAATGCAAAAGTCTGGGAACTTTCTTCAAAATTAAATCACATGTCTGTTTATTTTTTTGAATAGCAGCATTGACTGCTTCCTTTCCTCTTCACATGAATGCACAAATAGTTGGTGCGGGGGACTTCTTCTAAACCGGGAACTCTGCTGAGTTGTGTGTCAATTTTTTTGCCTGCTTATAGAGATATCAATCTATGTTGTTGCTCCCTGCTGTCAACTAGACATCCCCAGACTGTGGTTTGAGTAACATTACTAATGGGAGAATCATTTTAAATGGTGCTTGTAGGGCAGAAGAAGAAAGATACAAATTGTGAGAATTATAAGTGAGGATACTACAAATAAGGGAATTGCAAAGAGGAATCAAGGCGGGGAAAAGCAGCAGCTCTGCCCAATGTGCTTGCTGCACATTAAATTGTGTATCTCATGGTATCTTGAAAATCATTGCTGAAATCACAGGAAATGCTGGTTCAGAATGAGGAAGAGCTGTGTCTTCTGATAAACCTTTCTCGAGAGCCCCACAACCAAAGTCCTTCAGTCTCCTGAACCTTTGTGCTGCTTTCTCAGTCTCGTTGAGAATCCAATCTGAAAAGGAGAATTTGCCTAATAAGCCGAACCCATTTTAAAGGCTTTGGCAAAATCAGATCCATCACTTGAAAAATAACTGACCAATGTTGACCAGAGCAAAGATGTCTGCATGGCACTGGGGAGCCCAGACACAGTCACTGATGGCTTTTGAGGGTGTTATGTTAGTTTGGGTGAGGAACAAGATAAATGTGTCATATAAGCACTGGGACTGCCTTTATTGCTGAAGATGTTAATTTGCAACTCGGGGAAGGACTAAGCAAGGCATGAAAATTTAATTCCATTTGAAAAAGGGGAAAACAACACGTAACATAAATATGGGCCAATGGGATATTGCCTTCAAGGGAGCAAACTAACACACAGTTGTGGTGGGGTGACTGGTTGGATGCCAAGTGTTCACCAAAGCAGCTCCATCACTGCCCTCCTCAGCTGGCCAGGGAGGACAGAATACACTGAAAGGCTTGAGGGCTTGAGTCTTCTCTCTCCTTGCTCTGGCTGTAATTGCTATTGTGCTGTTTTTCCCCCCCTTCTTAAATTCATATTCAGTGATTCCTTTATGGGAATACAAGACTACCCCCGATGAAACCTGACTTTACCTCCTAAGGTGTTTGGGACTCACTTGTAGGCCATTGCCCTTGGTGGAGTGACAATACTTCAGAAATATCAGCTAGTAAGACTCTTAGTAGGGTTATGCCCGTAATGCAAACACTAAATTGAAGTTCATGTTCTGCCACTGATTTGATGTTTGACAAATGACCCTTTTGTGTTTTGTTATTCACTTTGCTAAATTGGATAATCATTCTTGCTCACCTCCCTAAAGCAGTTTGACATCTATAACTGCAAAACAATCAACAGAACCATTCAGAATTCCAGCTATATAGAGTAACTTAACAGAAATCTAAACCCTGCAGCAGCACAACAGTCACTTCATCTCTAATTTCACCTAGTATATATTTTGGGGTTAATTTAATTTTCTTTATGGCAATTTAACTGCAATATTGGCATAATAGTATTCATTTTTAAGCATCACGTTTGTTTTGGGGCATGCTAATATATTAGTATCCTGCTTAGGCACAGTGGAAGTATTGTTCTTTCACCCTGAAAGATAAACTCTAAGAAGATATTATAGACGTGAATGCCATCTATTATGAATAGAAGAGCACTTTGTAGTTCTCAGCAAAGGTCCCAGTTAGCCCAGGTGCAATGAGAACCTGCCCCCATCCGAACACCAGATAAATGCGTTGCACAGAGGAAGGATGAAAGAGAAATAAAACATTCACAGTCTGCTGAAAAGCAAACCAGCTTCCTCTCTCCCTGGGACCTGCACACGCCGGCCCTGCTGAAGCTGTGGTATCTCAAGTGAAGCAGCATTGCCAAAGACAGGTATTTGCGTGTGAGAACTTTGCTCTTTAGAACTAGTGCTATAATTAAAACGGAGCTGAAACCTCATAAGCTGTACATTTCTAGCAGCAGAAGAGAATATCTCATTTTTACACCTGGAAAAATAGAAGCAAAGTCGTTGCGAAGAGATGAGTCCTGCTGTTTACTCCCTTCATCAAATCGTGGAGTGATTCCTCACTTGTGAAAACACAGTTCCTCAGCAACACCCCCTAACCCACAGGGGCTGAGGCTATAAATGTAGCTTAGCAGTGGGTTTATTCTAAGTTGTTTTTAATTGTTTGTTTGTTGGTTGCTTTTTTTTTTTTCCCAAAGCACTGTTAGCAAGCCTACTCCTCTGTCAAGCCATCCCAGCCATCTGCCAATGTGGGCTCAAAAGAACATTCTTCAGGGCTTTATCCAATTTATTGTATCTGATTCATTAAAGTAATTACTCTTGATATTAAATCATTGCTTTGAGTTTGGCAGCTGCATAATGACCTGGGACTTAAATTTCTAAACCAAGCTGAAGTTCTTGTGCTTATTTTATTAAATCTCACATTGCCTCAAATGAACAGGGGTCTTGGCTGCCCAGTGTGAGCATTCCTTGGTGCAGCAGTCCTTGAGCAGCTTTGGCAGGTGTAACAGAGAAAAGCAGGTGTGGAAAAGCCTCTCTTCTGGCTTATCTGGTCTGTTGGAGTTAGTGGTGCCCTGCTGGCACAATAGGAGTGGTGTGATTTTAGCTGGGAGGGATAAGATGGCACCAGAATTGTTAGGCATCAGTTACAAACAGCGTCCTCAAATGTCCCGGGCCTTTGAGTTGTGCTGTGCCTTTGTTTATTGCGGTCAAAGCTCTGGGGAAATGCCATGAATCAAATTTCCTATGGCATTTCTGAAATGGGGGGTTCCTGTCACCCACATGTGGAAAAATAGAAGTAAGTAAGGAGACAGGACAGAGCTGAGGAAGGTTTGTGGATTGTGAAGAGGAACCTCCTGAGAGTCAGTGCTGATACACAGCTCCTCAACACAGAAACAGAGCCCCATTCCTGAAATCCATCTTCCTGCAGCACCAAACCCCCAAACTGAAGAAAACAACAAAGGCCAAACAGGATCATTTAATAAGTCTTGAGTGGGGACCCTCTAGGGTCTTCAAACCCAAGAAGGGGCCAACCCCATCACTCACAGGGCTGAGCAGACACGGGACATCTCTGATCCCTGACACCATCCAAACTCCTCTGTGCCAAGACCTCCTTGCCACCCTCCCACCCAGTCTTTTCTCCTCAGCTCACACTGGGACTGTCATCTGTGTGGGTACAATGGTGTTCTGAGATTATCTGCTCTTGGTATCCTAACTGTGCCAGGAGCCAATCTGGAAGATAAGGCGGCGTTAAAATATTTCTGCTGCAAATAACTGAAGCCCAGTTGGCTTCAAATGTTCCATTTTACTGCACCTTTCTTTGCAGTGTTTATGAGCTTTGGACTATTTATAAAGGCAGATAAAGTTCAAAGAAGGCCTTTTAGAGCTGAAGGTTCTCTTGCTGGGAACTTAATTGGAAAAGTGCAAAGTCCTGGGATGCAAACGCCCATTGCTTTTGTACCTGGCAAAGAAAGTTACCGTAAATGTCTCACACTGTCATCAGTTGATCTCTGCTGTTGGCATTCAAACCTGTCACACCCTCCCCTGCCTGAGTTACTCCACTCCCCTCTGACTGAAACCCTGGCAAGGCTGATTCCTGAGTCTGCAGCCATGTGGGAATGTTGTTTGCAGCTGGACACCTGCTGCCTGTGAGACCCTGTGCCAGATGTTCCCAAGGGGAGATGAAGAGCCTTTGTGCTGGTCCCTTCCAGTACCTAAAGGGAGCTTACAGGAAAGAGGGGAGAGGGAGTTTTTACAAGAGCGTGTAGTGACAGGACCAGAGATCCCTCTGTAAAGGAAAATGAGGCAGTCTGTGTTTGTGTTTCCTTCCCTTGTGGTCTGTTAGGGACCCACTGTGCATCCTAGTGCTGGAAAGTCAGTGGTCTCCCACACCTTGAGCATCAAACTAAAAGAGAGTAGGTTTAGATTGGATATTAGGAGGAAGTTCTTTGCTATGAGGGTGGTGAAGCACTGGAAGAGCTTGCCCAGAGGAGTTGTGGATGCCCCATCCTTGGAAGTGTTTAAGGACGGGCTGGATGGAGTTCTGAGCAATCTGGTCTGGTGGAACAGGACACCCATGGCAGGGGATGGAACGAGACGGCCTTTAAAGTCCCTTCCAGCCCAGCCCATCCTGTCAATCTGCGATTGCCGGAGTCACCTCCGCGCTGTGCCGAGGGAGAATGGGACACCGTGACGTCACGATTTGCATACCTGGCGTCAGAGCCGCGTGACGTCAGGGCGGGGGCGGGGCCGGCAGGAAGGGGGCGGCAGGTGGCGCCCGGCCGGGATGGGATGGGAAGGGAAGGGAATGGGGCGGGATGGACGGGGCGGGCCGCGCTCCCGGCTGACAGCGGCGCTCCTGCCCTCCCTCCCGGGCGGCGCGGCGGGAGTTGTAGTGCGCGGCGGGCGGAGGCGGCCGGGCCGGCCCCGGGGCGGACTACAAGTCCCAGGCGGGGCGGGCGGCGGCGCTGTGTGTGAGCCGAGCGGAGCGGAGCGGAGCGGGGCGGGCGGCGCGCCGGGGCTCGCTGGGCGCCGCGGCCGTAACCTCCCGTCTCTCCCTCTCGCAGCGGCGGCGGCGGCGACGATGCAGGCGGAGTCGGGGATCGTGCCGGACTTCGAGGTGGGCGAGGAGTTCCACGAGGAGCCCAAGACGTACTACGAGCTGAAGAGCCAGCCCCTCAAGAGCAGGTGGGGCGGCGGGGCCGGAGCGGGGCGGGCGGGTGCCCGCCGAGCATCCCCGCGGGCGCTGCTGCGCAGCGGGGCGGCCGGGAGCGCTCCTGCCATAATAGCGGCGTTGTTGGCGGAGGGCGGGCCGGGCCCGCGTTATGTAAAGGGCATTGTTGGCCGTGCGGGCCCGGCTGTGCCCGGGGCAGCCCCCGCCGGCCGCGGGGCGAGGCGGCGGCCGCACCTGCCCCCGGTGAGCGCCGCGGTCCAGACCCCCCCCGGCGGGGCCAGCGCGGAGCTGCGAGGGGCTTGCCAGGTCTTGTAGCATCCAAGGTTGTTCTCGGTGGGCTTTTTTTCTTAATTTTTTTCTTTCCCTCCCTCCCTCCCCGCCCCCCCCCCCCGGCGACTTTGAGAGTAGGTTTGTTACTTGCAATTGCTTGGGGAATGGAAACTTGCTAGGTAGGTCACTTTCTTGCTGGAGTGTTTTTTTTTTTTTTTTTTTATTCGCCGAGATAGACCCTGTTTGCTTATCTGGAGCGGCTGCGTCGCGTAGATATGCTCTGTAAAGGGAAATGAGGCGGTCTCTGTGTGTGTTTCTCTCCCTTGTGGGCTGGTAGGGACCCGCTGCCCGTCCTAGTGTCGGAAAAAGAAAGTCAGTGCTCTCCCGCTCCCTGAACATCAACCTTGTCAGTGATGGCACGTTTCTCCCTCCTCTTTTTTCATTCAGCGAACCCTCCATTTCACCTCAGTGCTATCCTCAGCAGCACTCTGCTGAATATAAGGTCATTGCTGCAAGTGTATTGTGTTTGTAATCATGTCTGTTGTTAGCCTGTCTCTATATTCATATTTTCGTTTTGAGCACTACTCTTTGTACATCTGTATGCAGTTGAAAAATGAACAAGAAGGTAAATATTGAAAAATAATTGTGCTAGAATGACTTTAGGTTGTACCGTCTGTCAGACACGCCTCAAAGTAAATACATGAATTTTTGATAATCCTCTGAATGTTTCAGAAACACTGAAAGTCTTGTAGTAAAAGATGTTAAAAATTCTCTCGCTGTCACAAGGGCTGACGGATCTGGGGCCACCTCCTGTGGCCTGTCTTCCCAGCAACCCTGGCTCACACTGAACCTGTGGTACTGCTGAGGGAGGTTGCAGGTAGTGGTGGGGCCGTCCAGCCAACCAAAGTTGCCAGAACTCCTTTGCTCCCCAAGGTTATGCAGGGAAGATGCCATTATCCAGGTAATTAGGTGGGGGCCAGGCTAATGTGCAGAGGAGGGTTCATCAGCAGCTCCAGCTGTGATGGAGGCAGCTGGGAGACCCACAGGGCTTTGGGTTCGGTGCCTGTGTCGCCATTGGAGTGCAGCGGTCCCGACAACTGTGCTCTGGTCCAGGAGCCCTGTTTGCACCAGCTGCGGGTTCTAACTGGTGTGCAGGACTTCTCCCTTTATGGTTGTCCACTTTGTAGTCAGCAGTTTGTCTGTGCTTTCCTAGTGTGAGCAATGGAGCATAGAAAACAGGTCTGCATTGGAGCTTAGATGGCAGGTCTGCATTTGACCTTGCACAGATGTTGCAACTGCTTTTAATTCTTGTGACTTGGTGCTCTGGGACTTGACTGTATTACTGTGTTGTTCTCTCTGGGGCATGTGAATAAACTCTGTAATGAAACACTGGAGTATTTTACTATCTTCTAAATGTTGTCACTTCAAATTTCCCTGTACTGAATTTCCTCAGTACATCCTTATTTGATGCTCCGGCACAGCCAGCGCTGCCCACCCTTTGGGTTTAAAGGGACCCCTGTGTCTGTCCTCCTGACATCCTGCTGGTGCCTCAGGCCAACATCTGTCCTGATGTTTGGTAGGAGAAGTGACCAGCATGCCCCCCTCTGCTTCGTGTCCCTCCACACGTACCCACGTATATGAGAAGAGGGAGCCCTGAGGGTGGAATAACAATCCATGGTTTTTCTGGCAGACAGTGAACTGACATGTTAACCTCAGCGTGGAGCCTGCCCAGCTCACGTACGGCTCTTACCTCGAGGTAGAGTCTCAGTTGTCTTCCTGGTCTTGTGGGAGATGAAGATGCAAAGGAGTCAGGGGCCCTGCTGGGTCTGTATAAACCTGTCCCTGGAGCCAGGCTGATAAAGCCCGATGATAACAGGGGGCAGAAGTTGCTCACAAACCTGTTTGCTTCGTGATCATATCTCAGAGGACTTCTGTAGTCCTTCAGCTTTGCTGAGGCCTGAAACTAGTCTGACTGATGATTATCGAGGGTATCCAGCATCACCCTGCTGCTTTCTCTTGTGGATGTAAATCAGGAGTAATTGCACAGCAGTGAGTGGAATAGCAGCAGGTCAGCGTGGTGCAGTTGTGGGACTGTGGCCGTGGGAATTGCTTTCTTACCCTCTCCACAGCCTGGCTCTGGAAAGGTGACTGGGGAGCAGGTAAGCCAGAGGCATGAGCTGATGTTAGGAGCTGAGTCCAAACAGCAGTCTGCTCTTTTCCCTGGTGAGAACTGCTGATTTCCTAGCAACATTCAGGGCTTTCTCTGATCTGGTAACTGTAAGAGGTGAGAAGCGCCCTTGGCTTACCGTAGCATCTGAAATTGTGAGTAGAGAGAAAATCCATCCCACTCAGAAACAGGTAAGAATGTCAGTGCTCCGAACCAAGGGAAAACCTTTTTGTTGCCCAGTTTAACTCAGCCCTGCTGATATTGTTGTTCTTCACTCAGTGAAACTCTCCTATTCGCTTCTTCCCAGATTGCTTGTTTTCCAATACATGACATCCAGTTAAATGTTTCTCCTCTCCAGTGTGCCCTCACAGTTACTCCATCCCTATTTCATAATTCAAGTCTGCAATCCAAAGCCGCAAGGGGTCCAATAATAAAAGGTTTTTGCAGTAAATACTGTACTAACTCAGGCCAAGCCACAATTGAGTGCTAGAGGCCAAGTTAAAATGTAAGCCCAGCAAAAGCTTTAATCACAGGGGATGGAGAGAATACATGGGGCTGAGATAGATCAGTTCCACCCGTATTTCCCAAACCCCTTCGACTCATCAGAAGTTGGCTCCTTGGGCAAAGCCCTACCTACATTCAAGGGTTCTCTGGAATTTGCTGTGGTTGAATCTCTTTGAAAACTGAGAAGATGTTTCAGTTGCTTTGGTTTCTCCAGAGTCACTTTTCACTGTGGGAGGAAACTGGACTTTAAGACTAGCCAGTAAGACAATGAGCTCTATTTCTTTCCCCCTCCTATTCATACTTTATTCCTCTCCTGCCGTATTCCCAAGGGATAATAGGTTTAATCTATAAGTACATACACTTAAATATGTATGTGTTTGTGTAATGAACAAGCAAATAAGATTTCTTTCCTGGTACAAGCAGTGTACAATGAAATCGATGGAGTTTTATTACCAAAAGTAAACACAGACCCTGACATGTCTGCACACAGTCAGCAGGACGCTGGAGGCTTAAATTACATCTGTCATATTGCTAATGTAGATTCTTTAAATCATTTGGCTTACTGTAGTGATGTTTTGGGTATCACACTGGCATCTGGAGGTAAAGACTGTACAGCCTGCCTCTGCATAGGGCAGTCTGAACTAACCCAGGTGTGCCAAATGCAGCAAAAAAATTCTATATTCAGTTGATTTTTCTCTGTTTTTTTTTTTTTTTTTTTTGTTCTCTGCAATACATGCCCACTTGGATTGTCTGTGCGACCTCGCAAGTGCCAGCAAATTATTGTCAATTGTTGTAATTTACTGCCTTGCTCTTAATAAAGCCTGCAGGTAAATTGCTGCTATTTGTGCCCTTTTCTGTTGCCTGTATTTTTCAGACTGGTTAAAAAGCACCCAAATGATGTAGTTACCGAAGTATTTTTAGTGGAAAAAATATTTGGAAATGCATTTAATTTGCATGATAGTTTCTTAGGCAGTTTATTTTTATTTTATGAGCAATAGCATTGGGATGTACAGTTTGTCATTATTAAAGCAGTGGTGTCTTTATAAAATTCTCATCATTCCTACTGTCCAAAGACCTTTTTTTTTTTTTCATGCAAACCCTCAATATTTTACTTATATCAGCCAGTACCTCGTCTCTATCCATTTAGGATCCTCTATAAGGCACTCGTTTTTGTTTTTTTCCTCTTTTCTGGTGCTGTGCTAAACATTGAAATCTTGATTTAGTTAAAACTTCCCTTTTAATACGCAGTGATTGTTGAGGAAATAATAATTTCACCAAAGAGAGGCACACATTTTTGAAACATGGGCTTACTCTGGAGCCAAAGAGGACTCTTCTCAAGTGCCTTAGTGCTTTAGCCTGCAGATGATCAAATTTAATTTTGTAAATGAACTTTGCAGCGTGATTGAGTTTGAACTTGATTACATTAGGCTTAACATTGAGTTTGTGCCTATTGGAGGTAGTCTTTTCATATTACTGCTATTTATGGATCTTATTCAAGTGTTTTATATTCTGGTTGGGTTCTGCAATGCAGTTTGTTCAAGCTACTGCTTATATCTGTTCCAGTTGTGCAAGAAGTGGAAAATATCCTTTATTTAGAACAGGTCACATGTTCTTGCATCCAGGAACTGCGTCTCAGTGTGATTAAAAAAAAAATAAAAATGTATCTTGGAGGAACAGATTTAAAAAGTTCCTGAAATATTTTTCTGTCTGTTACAGAGGAACATTACGTGTTTTAAACTGAAAGGTAATAATAGCTGAGCTTAAAGTGCTACGTAGGCTAGCACTGCCTGAAATCAGTGGTAAAAGTCTTAGCCAACGTCAGTGGGAGTAGAGCTAAGCCAAAAGTATGTCTCTGAAATCTCTCCGGTAACATTTTTGTGAGTGAGTCAATAATTCCGTGTTTATTCTGCACCTCAAATTCGCTTCCCTGGGAAGGAAACCCTCGCCACATCTTTTTGTACTTTCTTATTTCTGAAAACAGTCTTAAAAGAAAAGGCTGCAGTTGGAGTGTCTGTTGTATAAACATGTGGAGACAGTAAGTGGTATTTCCGTATATTTCTTTACACAAGGAGC